CCCGGCCCGCCCTCGGCCGCCGCGTCACCCGCCCCGCACCGCACCGCGGGGACGCAGTGCCGTGAGGGAGTGCAGTGCGGGGCCGTGCAGTGTAGCGCGGTGAGGGGATGAAGCGCAGTGAGGGGGTGCTGTGCAGTGCGAGGATGTAGTGGGGGGGGGGACGATGCGCTGAAGGGACAGTGTGCAGTGAGATGAATTGCAATGAGGGAGTGGGGGGGGTGCCCTGCAGTGATGGGATGTCGTGCAGTGGAGGGCTGAAGTAGTGCGGGGGTGCACTGTAGTGAGGGAATGAAGTACAGTGAGGGGTGCCATGCAGTGCAGGGATGAAGCGCAGTGAGGGGGCTACGATGCACTGAAGGGACAAGGTGCAGTGAGGGGATGGATTACAATGAGGGAGTGCAGTGCGGGGATGCGGTGTAGTGAGGGGGTGCAGTACAGCCCATGCAGCAGAAGCATCCCCCCCAGCCCCTGCTATTGGCATGTCCAGGCAAAGGGCTGGGCTGCCCCCACGGGAGCTGAGCCATCCCGGAGCCATGAGGGAGCCCCCAAAGGGCACTGCCCCAGACCAGGCAGCCGTGACGGCTCCTAGGACCCGGACTCTGGCCCTGCCAAGTGCAGTGCCCCCCCGCCCAGCTTCTCATACAGAACCAGAACCCGTGCTGCGGCCACGGCGGCCCAGAAGAGCAGACCCCGCTTGCAGCTGCACCAGTCTTGCAGGGTGAGAGGCCCGGAGAGGCAGGAGGGACACGGCTCACACTCACGCTCACACACGCAGCCGGTGAGGCAGAGGCACGGCGAGGGTGTCATTTTATTAGTCGAGATGCGCAGTACAGCCCACGGGGGGGCAAATACATCAGAGCCACGGAGAACAGGGACACTGCACGGTAGTCAAACAGGACGGGGCGCGCGGGAGAGCGCTGCGAACCTCGCGCGTGACAGCAGGACAGCCGAGGGAGCGGTCTGTTGGCGGGCGACGAGCTGAAGGGGAGGCTCATCCCAACGCATACTTGTTCTCAGTGACGTGAAAGAAGCAAGTGCCCGTCCCCGTTCTGTGCAGAGCCTGCATTAAGCCGGTTCCCTCCAGACCCACTTTCTTCCAGGGTGTAATTTCCCCTTGGCCAAGTGTCAGAGAAAAGATTTTACTCGCTGTAGACACTGGCACCCATCCGAACGCAAAAGCAATAACTTCTGCAGCTGCCGGCCTTGTCCCAGCTCTCTCCCCACTGGCAGTGGTCTGAGTCCCCCACAGCTTACAAATTATTCTGCAATGGCTGGTGCAACCATCAGTGATTTTTTTTTCCTCTTTTTTTTTTTTTTATAACTTTAAATGAAATAAGGGTGTAGAAGTAGCAGGGTCTCATCAGTAATGGGCGTTCAATAACTGTGCAGCATGTTATTACTAGAAATCGAGGAAAACCAAGGAGCTTCTGAAGACCATTTAGAATATTAAAAAAGCACTGTTTTTCAAGGTCTCAGCCCCTCAAGTAGGGTTGAACGTGGAACAAAATTGCAGAATGCTATCATCGCCTTTTAAAAGATTAAAATTGAGATACAAAGAGATTTGCACAAGATTACTGAGAAATCTCCTAGCAGAGCAGGGAATTGCATCTTGTTTTTCCAAGTCCCAAGTTATCTCATAACCTCTGAGCCCACCTACACTGCAGTTTGTCACCTCTAATCAAGTCATTCCTTCTGAAGAAACCTATTTAATTTGGACAACGGCCAGGAAGCAGTGATGATGATGGAGACCTTGGTGTAAGGGTCGACCAAAAAAAAAAAAAAATCCTATCTTTTAAAGATTAAATAAAAAGAGACTGGACTACTGATTACCTATTGTAAGTTTAAAGCTAATTGATGTAAAACACAAATAGAAGAGGGTGTTGTTTGCTAAAGGAATGCATGATGTAGGATACATTTTATAGGGCCTGTAGGTGGAAAATGTTTCCTGTTGAGGTGGTGGAGTCCAGTAAAAGGAATCCATTCCATTGAATTCACTCAAATTGTGCCAGATTAAAGAGAACTTGGTCTGTTTGGCACTTGACCCTTTAAAGTAGCCAACAGATTTGTTATTAGGCCTGCATTCCCCACCACCCCAAGAAGTTATTAAACCTTGATAAGTAACAGAGGTGGAATCAGAAAGTCCTGGAGTTGTTTAGCTGCAGCTGCTCCTACATTAGACCCCCATCGTGCAAAGCAGACTTGGGATGTGCGTGTGGAAGTGTTGCTGCTAATTGTCTCGCACACAGAATTCATATCAAGAAACTAAGGTTTTTTTTCAAGTGGGGTTCTCCTGCATCATCTGCTTATTTCTATTTCACTACTCTTAAGAAACAAACCAACCCCAAAACATTTGCTTGTTGCACCAGCCTGCCAAAGGGGCTGGCAAATCCAGAGTTTTAAGGCATGGGTTGAAGGCATTAAGTTTTCCATCTATTGACGCCTCTGGGAAACCCTATGAAATATGAACTTTCATTTCTATCCAGGAAAAACTTTACAATCTTTTCTCCAATGCCTCATGAAGGGTGTTTGTGCCCGAAAGCTTGCAATTAAAGATTTTTTTTTTTTGCAAAAATCTTCTGGGTCTAATAAAAGATATCACCTCTACCACAAGTCCCGATTGCCTTTTAACTCATCACAAGAGCTTGGGCAGCTCATCAGAACTCGGCCAACAAACCTCAACACAACTAGATAGAAGCCAGACACATCCCGTCCCTAGGTGAGAGCCGACGTGCAGGATTACAGTACCTCTACCAGGAGTGGAAGCTGCAGGTACTTAGCACCTCTGAGGAATGAGGAATCAGGTCCTTAGCACTGGTTTAACATTAGAATGGTTCCAGTTCTACCAGCTCAGCAGAAGGCAAGGAAAGGGTCCGCACAGAAGGCAGTTCCCACATGAGTGAGTCTTCTGCTAATTTGGAAGCTTGAAGGTGGGGAAGAGAAGCATTTAGACAAGAAAAGGAGTGGGGTGAAAGGGCCTTGTCATACAACGTTCAGTTTGGGGAGACACCAAGGACGTTGCAAATGGGACCAGAAACCATAAAACGAGTTCAGGGAAGAATCCCAAGCATAAGCAACCTGTACAGCCACCATTGCTATCAGCCTATCCTCCTGTTCAGGGATGTTGGCCTGTCCTCTGCATAAGGTAGTTTTAAAAGCTGCTTGGTTAGTTCCTAGGTTTTAATAACTGTGATTTTATAGTGCCCACCCTGCTACAGTATCCTGTATAATGTCCAGCAAGTGTTCACTAGCCTGCCACAGGTGCTACATTTCTGCTAAGAGGAGAGTTTCAGGGGCCAATTGGCTCCAGGGTATTAGATAACACATCAGAAAGCAAGAGTAAAATCCCAGCTGCATGCAGCTGCATTGACCATTTATGCCCATTTTTCATCCAGTCCCAAGTGCTCTGGGGCTAGGGAGTAAAATATTTCAGTCTCATTGTACTAGAAATATCTTTTTTAGCCTCTGAAAAGCGCATGTGTAACCCTGCTGTTCAATGCAGCCTGTGTCCTTGCCTGACTTATCCGTAGAGGGTGAGTGTTACAGCTCTCAGCTGTAGGACCTGCTCCTTCGGATGGAGCTGTAGTAGATTCATACTTTTGGTCCTGAAGGTTCAAGTTCAGTCCTCAGCCTGCACCAAGTTACAAGCCACCACACTTGGACTTGTACAGATGGCAACCGTTCCAATGTGAACAGCAACATCAAGAAGTACTGTGAAGGACCCTGTAGGGCAGCTGTGTTTTGGGAAGGGGCTATGTAAAAACAGATCCCTTCTATGCACCAGGTCTACTTTCTCTGCATTCAGCTACGCTGTGGATGGGTGAATATACCAAGGTCCCAGTCCTGCTGCCATTGAAGTCGGTGGCCATTCAATGGAAACAGGATCAGGCATGGAGCAAACTACTCAGGATCATACAACTGGCACCATTTGTTGCTGCCTCGGACTTTAGATCATGTGCAAAGAGAGGTGTAAAATGCTACCAAACAGGAGTTCTGTACTCCTGTGCACTGGTGCTGACTGATAACCCAACTAGCCTGAAACAGATCCCAATGTCAAAGTGAAGACAGGTTAATATTCCTCGGAGATCACATACTAGGGCTATTACCTGGAGCAACGACTGCTAATATTAAAAGTGCAAACTTGAACACCCATCCCCTTCCTCTCCCCCACCCTCCACAACACAGAATGAGAGATAAAGGTTAGCAGACGAGGATGGCCAAAATAGGAAGCATAGGTGCACCTTGGACAGCGGGGCTGAGTTAGCACAATTCCATGCATCTGCCAGAAACGTCAGAGAGGGCCAAGTCTCAAAGCTCTGAGCAAACATTAGCCCAGCTCCTGTTGGACTATTGGAGATTTGCTGGGGCTGCAAACCCACTGGGTCGGTCGCGGACTCAGCTCCTCCCTCCAGCCGTTCTCCACAGCACAGTCTTGCTCTTCATAGCAGTGGTTCATGCGGCCTGCAGTCAGACAGCAGAAAACGCCCCCTTGGATCCCGGAGTAATGTTCCAACAGTGCCTCCATGCAGGGGAACTCAGCGTTCAAATGCTTCAAGAGTTGAGAGAGAGAGAGAGAGAGGATTTGAAAAAAACCCAGCATAGGACTGACTGCCTGCTATAGCAAACAAAACACAGTACGACAGCATGCCTGGCTCCTGCATATAGGAATCCTTCTGAGAGCAAATCACCTCTGCCATTCATAGACTGTGTGCAAGCCAGAGACTCCAATGCTCTGAGCTCAGCACCTTCAACCCCTGCAAAATCCTCTTTGAAAGGAGAGATGGCCATTTCCATCTCAGCAACAGGCACAACCTGCTGAAGCATAGCAACGTGGTGAAGTTGGCTGGCCGAGTCTACTGCTGAGAGGACTTAATTATACAAGAGTCTTGATGTAAGCAGCCTCAGAGAAGGTGTTGTAATAGTAAAGCCTCACAGCATCTCCATGAGGTGTTACTCCCCATTTTCCAGGTGCGGAAACCAAGGGGCAAAGGCAATTTAACTCATCTCCACGCTACGTGTAAGCCGGGATGGAACCCACGGGCCACTAGAGAGGCCAAGTAGATAGCCCCGGACTCTCGAACAAACGTGCGTCTCAGCTACGGCCAGAAAGAGAAGAATCTTGACCAGCTCAGATGGCAATGGAGTCGCTCGGCCCCCAAGACCCCCTTACCTCCACGCAGTACTTCCCCTGGTGGTTTCTGAAGATGTTGTAAGGAATGACACCGCACTGCGTTCTCACTGACAGGCACCACTGATTGGCCGATCCTGGCTCTGCTCGAAGGAGGAAGGCTCCTAGAACGTCTTTGCTCAGGAGCTCGATCCCACAGTCCCTGTGGGACAGGTGGGAAAAGGTAGGACAAGAGGCATTGCACAAGAGTCTGGGAAGCTCTCCTCCCCCCACCCAGAGATCAGTCCACTCATCCAGAATGGAGTCTGCTAATGGGGTATGACCAACTTGAGGAGGAAGCTCTGCAAAACACGCAGATGAGATGAGACTGTGCTGGACACTTCTTCCACTTCCTAGAAAGGGCCCACATGCAGGTCCCCTTCACCAAGATGGACCATGGAACTTCAGGCTAATTTGTACACAGGGGTATGGCGAGGAAGATTTAGTGACATGGAAGGTTTTAGCTTTTCCAAGATGCAGATGAAAATCAGAGACAGAAATGAGGCATGGGCTTTCCTCTCCAGCTGCTCTGACTAAGGCCATTAAGGATGGCCCTAAGCAGAGGTCTCCTTCTCTGCATTGACAAGGATGCAGCTCTTTCTAGCCGGGCAAGAGCAGATGAAAAAGATTATGGCAGACAGCACAGAGGCTAAAGCCGCCACTGCTGCATGGAGGAAATAAGACTGGATACAAACTCTGCGCCAACAAGTTTGGACAGCATCACCTTACAGTCACCAAATTTTTCTTCAGCTTTGTTGCCCCATAAAGGTACCACATTAACTAGATATGCTGGGCCCCCTTCAGCATCTGGCTTATGTAAGATGACAACACCATGTTACTGCTACCAGCCAGTGCCAACAGTCTTTTTGCTCAAGAGGTAGAGGTCACTGCTTTCCTTTTTGCTGAATGTGCTGTGTTCAGCCCTGGCTGAAGAGCCAAGAGGAGGGTCATTCACAATAGAGGGGTTAATGCACAGAAAATGGACTGACTTCCTCCCTAACACAGAGGAGATAAGGGATGGGAAAGGCAGGTGAATGGTAGAAGTGCCAGGAAACCTGCAGAGCCAAGTACTCACCTGGCAATCCCAGAAAAAGACCAAGTGTTCTCCATCAGGATGCTCTCATTTTCTGTCAGGTAAACCAAGTTACTCTTGCCACCCTTGTTATCCCAGCCTGTGTGAACTGCAGTGACAAGAAGGAGATGCAGGTTTAACAAGCAGGCATCAAAGAAGCAGAACCTCACTTGCATAGCAGACAAGAAACCCCCATTACACACAAAGCAGCATCCACACAACCAGTGGGCCATGAACAGCCCCTCTAGTCACTCCTGGCTCTATAGAAGCATACAGTGGCCACATGCATAGTATTTTCATTGAAAAGTCATGATGGACATAATTGAACTCATCGTTTTTAAAAAAAATACAAGTCTTTCCCCACACCTGGTGCCTTCTGCCCTGCCCCTGTAACTCACACATTTCCCGGGCAGACTGATGAAGCTGGACCTCATAGCTGCAGTCCCGATAAGCCCCCGAGCGGATGACCTTGCTGCGAATCGCCTTCTTGCGCACCAGGATCGGGGAGTAGTATGGATTCCATGGGCGAGAGCTCCCCACATCCTCCCTCTCCTCCAGTTCCAGTCTCCTCTCCTACAGGCACAGGCCAGAGCAGATCTGAATCCATCACCAGTGGGAGATATTGCCAAACGGAAGAGCAAAACACTGCCCAGAACACACAGCACCCCACACAAGAGGACAAGGCAAACCACTTCCCAGCTCAGCCATGCTTAGCGCACACTTCCTGGTGGACTCCAGGCTCATTATGTCCCTGAGTCTGCAGAGACCAGGAAGGCATCCAACTCTGCTGAGCAATTAGCTTTAAAAGGAGCCACACTAGCTCCAGTGTCATTTTGTGTTCCTCTCCTCTGCACTGCAATGCCCTCTGGACGGCTCTCCCTTCTCCCTGATCATATGGAAAGGGTCCAGTTAACTCGTGGGCTAGAGGTGCTGCTGGGCCTTCAGAGGACAGCCATCTGTGAACAGATTTATAGGTGCTCCTCTGAGGTCAAAACCAGCACCGAGCTTCACAGTCTTGCTCACCGAATTTGTACATTGCTGAAGGGAAGCACTTCTGGGCTTCTGTTTCATCTGGGACCCCTCTGTATCCCGCATGGCCTCCTCTCTCCAGCTTTACAAACACTTCTCATATTCCACCCATCCTCATTGTATCCAAAGGGGACTGGACATGCCTGCAAGCCTTTTGCAGAGGGCTGCCATGGGCCAAAGAAGGATCACGTTTCCCGCCCCAGGGCTGAGTGTGCTGCCTCAAGGAAGGAACCAGTCTTGCCAAGCAGTTCAGTAGGAAGCAATTTGCCTCTAGAACAATGGCCCAAATGCCGTCACTTGGCAGGGTGGCAGGCCAGCTCCAGCCCACAGGCCGTAGGTGGCTGCCCCATGCTCTGGGACACCGGCTGGTTTGCTCATTTGTTGCAGCTCCAGCTGTTGCCCAAAGATGACAGTACAGGACCTCTACTGTGGAAGAGTTCCCCATGGCCTTTGCTCCCCCGCCCCTCAGCATGGTCAATGATGGGAGGAAAGACACCCAAAGTCTGGGAGGCAGATTGCAGCAACACCCCAAGGAAGAGCCCACTTACCACGCTGCCCAAGGAGCCTGAGTCGGTGGGACAGGGGAGCCTGCGGAAGGACACCAGCGCGTTGACGTTCTGGGAAACCTCCTCTGGATTGAGTGGCTCTCTCACTACTCCGGCTCCCAGGGGCACTCCCAGCAGCCTCCCTGGCTCCCCCGGGGCAGGGCTAGCAGGGGGCTTGGCCTGCTCCTCGGGGTGCACAAGGAGGTAGTAGAGCTGGAACGAGCGGCACAGAAGCAGATGCAAGATCTGGACCTGGCAGGAAGAAAAACCATTCCCTGTGAGACCAAGGGCACTTCATCGCTGCTCAGCATGGCAATCCTCACCCTTCAGCCTGTTGCCCACGGCTGGGGCCCACCACACAGGCTCAACTGGTTTCCAGCTCAGATGATGACCCAGGACACACCAGAGGATCCTCCAACCTCTGGGCACTGAGACAGGGCTGCATGTGCCTGGGAATGTTTCTGTGCTGATGGGTCACCGCACACTCTTCTTTCACTGATGAGCTCCTTTGGCAAAGATTCATGTCCCACAAGAGCTCACCAGGTGCGGGGAGCCCTCTCTGCCCCACCCACAGATGTAGGTGTGCCCCACCACACTGACATGCATTCCCTTCAAAGTGCATTTTCATTAGTCATCTGACTCAGCTGAGCTCTGGACCAACTAACAAGACACCTTGAGCCAAGTGTGGCGGGGGTCCCTCCTGTAGCTAACATGCAAGTTAGATTTCAAGGAGCAGAAATTGAGCTTATGGGGGAGTTGGGGGGCAGGAGGAAGGCCTGCAGGGCTGGATGTGAACTAAGTCAGCGACAGTGCCCTTTCTCAGCAGAGCCAAGATACAGTGCTATATGGACAGTCTGATCCCGAGATAACATGTAAGGAAACAATCAAGAGAGAAGAACCACCGCTATGGTGTTAGGCTATTCAGCAAGAAGCTAAGGGTACTGGCAAATGATAGACCAAGTGATGCCAGAGCAGACTGGCATTGGCACGTTGCTTAAAAGGGCAACAACAAGGAGGAGCATGCTGTGAACAACCTGCCCACATTTTAGAGCTGCCCCCAGGATGAGGACAGCAGTGCTGGGGGGCACTGCTATGCCAAGGAGCAGTTATTATCTCCTGTTTGTAGCTTGGGGTAGGTCACAATGTGGTGGATAGACGAAGCTGCTGCAGTTCTACATGTAAGAGTTAGAGGGCAGGGTACTGCTCGTCAACAGAGACACTGCTTTTAAGTGGAGAGTGCATCCCCAATGAGCTGGGGGCACACGGGGGCCTGAAGCCTGTGTAATACTGAAGCTTATGGCAGTCCAGGCACACAGAGGAACCAGGTCCCATTAGACGCGCACACATGCTTGGTACCTCTCCAGGTTGGCTCCCCACAAAGAGGTGGCAGAAGAGCTTGCTGGCTGGGCTGCGTGGATTTCGTGACACAAAGGCAAACTGACAGTCTGTGGGCCTCCACGTGGAGTAGAGGATCCGCCTTAGGGCATGAGCCATCAGCAGCGTCTGAAAGAAGAGTGAAGAACATGGGCTCTGTAGCTAACAGCAGGGCAAGGGGCAACCCCCCAGAAACCCCCTGCTTCCTCTGCCAGACTGCCCTGCTGCAGTCCTTTCCTGGCATTGAGAAGCTGAAGAGTGAAGAATCCCACCGGAGATCCTGGTTTCTTGTGTCAGCTGGGTCTGTGTCAACAGAGTCAATGCTGCTTGGGCTGTCAGCAAGGCCTGAACCTGGGACTTCCACGCCAAGACTAGTGTTGGCACTGCAGAAGTAAGTCCCCACCCCAGAAGCAGCTGCAGACTCAAGCTTTGAGACCATCTGCCACTAGTCCTCAGAGGACTGGCTCTGTTCTTCACAGTGGGCTGCATTAAGCACTATGCTGAGAAACAGCACCACCCCACAACTGCTGCAAGAAACCTGTGCCCTTGTGCTAGGGAACTGCTCCCCATCCCCATTCTAGACGGGTGATGCCACCCTCCCCATTGCCTAGCAGGCTTGGTTTGAATCCAGAACCATTTGGACCTCATCTCTGGGCTTTACAGCAGCGATTCTTAGCCACGGTGGCACTGCAAACACCTGTGCACAAACCACAAAATAAACCCAGAGACTGCAAATAGGGATTGACTGGGTCAAAAACACTCTGGCCTGTTGTGGCCTCTCTGAGTTACTTGCAGCAGCAAAATTGCTCTGTTGTTCTTCTATAGTCAGAAAAAAATAGGTGAAAACTAAGAGCCGGCTTTTTCTGCAGGGTGCCTCAAGTCTGATGGGGTTGGGAACCCCTGCTCCACAGGTTTGTATCTCACACGCACACGGCACTGTGTGCTGATACACCTTACCTCCCCATCAGCACTGTAGATCTTCAGGCCCTGCAGGCTGAACTTCACGACGACAGATCTCCGTCTAGGACAGTCCTGTATCCAGAGAGAAAGTGTGAGAATCCTATTCAGCGATCACCTTCCTGACTCAGCTGGGGAAGGCAGGTGTTTGTGGCTTCCAGCCTGTCCTGCCTGCATCTGCTGGCCAGGGTTGAGATCCCTGCATTCACAAGCCAAGCAGAGTACTAGCAGGGGGGCTCTGTGGGTCACCTCTGGGATGCAGCAAGCTGCTCCTGATACCAGAGCAGCTTGAAGAGCTCCAAGCTGATACGTTCTCTTACAAATCATACAACCAGTTCGTCTTTCCTGCTCCCAGATCTCTTGGGGTTGGAGACCTTTCCGTGGTGTAAACCCAGCAGCAGCAGCTGTGGGCGTCTCCCAGTTACACGAGGACACTTCTCCAGGAGTCTACCAAATAACCTGCCCCTCCCCGACGGTCAAAGTCCCCTGACCTTCAGAGACTGGAGTTGCTGCTCAATCATCCACACCTTCTGCTGGAGTTCCAGGTCCTCCACCGTGAATGAGCCCACATACTGGGGGAAAGAGGAAAGTCTCACCACAGGCAATGGGGGTTAATGCTTTTCAGTCTAATAAATGCCAAATAAAGCCCCATTTGGGGTGCGGGGGGCAGAGCCAGCCTGAGTAGGGCTGGGCTTTTCCAGCAGGTGAAACCAAGCTGGAACATGCTAGTGCCTCGGTTTCCAGACAGTGCTGCTCTTCTCATCCCCCCTCCCGTTGTTAGCTGCCTCTGTATTCCAGCTTTCCACCTCCCGCAGGTTTCTACTGCACCAGGAGACATCGTACCAGCACCTGGCAGACCTCGCTTTACCAGCCACTTGCCGTGTAACATGGAGTGAGGCAAGTCACATCCTCCTCTTTTAGTTCTCCCACCTAAAATGTCCCCAGCATCCAAAGGACACAGAAGCTGCCATCACTTTGCATCTAGCAGTAACTACTTGAGAAGCCATCTCCCAGGCATTTGGGAGACTGTATGAACCAGCACAGGAAATCCAGGGGCCCCATACGCCTTCACACACACATCCACATGGATGCATTACTCCAGATTCAGGCACATTCAGGCTCACGGGCTGGGGAAGAGAGGGCTGATTTCAAAATCTGAACATGGATCTGAATGTTATATATGGGCCCCAACTCTGACTCTGACTGGAGATTGCACGTGTGCTAGAGCGGACAGCAGAAGTCACCTCAAATGGCTAGAGGCTCTTCACGCTCTTACGTGTCAAGTGGAGCTGCCTCGTGGCGTAAGTAGCCCTAAACACACGGTGTGATTTACCACTTCTATCAGCCAGGCTTACTCTTCGCCTGGATGCCGGGAGGGCAGAAGGAAACAGGTCCCCGGGCTGGTAAAGCAGGAGTCAGCATCCAGCGGTTGGAGTGGCTGCTCTACAGAAAAGGTTGCAGCATCCATTACAGACCACGGCAGTGCAGCCCTGCCCCAATAACCCTGAGCATCCCTCTGCTACTTCGGGATGAACTGGGACAGAGCTGAGTAAGATGCGGTTTCATTCAAAATGCATTGCACTGCAGAAGTGGCCTTGGCAAAGAGGGAGGAAGATGCGGGCTGGGCTAACAGCTGATTTTTCCTTGGCTACCCACAGCGAGTTCTGCATTGCTATGGTTACTGCTGCTCTCACAACCACCAATACCTTCCCACAGGGGCCTTCTCCCAGGTAAGAGAGGTCACTGCTCCGCTCTTCCTGCAGCGACCCCTGAACAGATAACCGTGGCGTGATAAGGGCTGCCGCCGGCATCATGAAGGATGCCAGCTGCCTCGTGGCCTCTGGGAGAGGATGCGGGGAAAGGGGGCAGGGGACGGGGGGCAGTTGTGTCCAGTTACACAGCAGAATGGAGACTGAATGAGACCTTGCCTCCTGCTCTCTCCAGCTTCTCAGCACCCACGGCAAATATGGGTAGGCAGAGGAGTCCCCAAAAAACATAAAGGCATGTTGGACTTAGTGAAAACGACTGCCTGCATTACCATTGCTCAGAGGCAGTGAGGCAGCACCCTGTTCTTAGGAGAAAACTGAGCCGGGGCGAGAAATCATTTGCTCCAGGCCATACAGTTTTTAATCCCATCTGCTGCCTTACTGCTTTGGGGGAAAAGAAGGGGAAGGAATCCTTCCCTCCCTCCCTTGGGAGCTGGAAAACTCAGGCTCAGTCCCCAGCTCTGCCTGCACGAGCATGGACAAATCATTGTGTCCCTCTGGGCCTTGGTCCCCCCTCAGGAGGCCCGTGCTGACTCTCAGGGATGTTGCGAGGCAGGCGGAGGGTATGAAACCAGGGGCCGGGGAAGTCCCTTAGATAGATACCCACCCCTTCACTGCTGCCACACCATCACGCCTTGCCTCTAGGCTGCCAGGCCTAAAACCTTTGGGTGTTGCCACAGCCCTGCTAAAGGCTGAACACAGCAACGAGGGCTTCGGGGCCGTCCAAGATCTCACCTCAGCAAATCTGGTGATGACCCTGGCTCTCTGTTGGTGCAGCGCCGATTCGGGTCCCCTCCCATTCCCCGTTTTCTTCTTCATGACGACTACAGCCTCTTCGGTCCTGTCTCTGCAGCTAGGAAGGAGAAGAGGGTGAGCGCTGTGTTCTGCAGGATTGTTTTTAGCCTACGGGAAGAGCCGTACCCTTCGTACCACGCCGGAGAGCCGGTGGGAGCAGAGAGCCCCGGGGCAGGTTACCACAGGGTTAACAGCCCTTGTTCCGCATCAAGATTCCCTCATTTGGCTTCCAGTCCACCCACGATTGTGGAGCTCGGCGCAAACAGCCTCCCCCAGACACAGGGCTTCATTTGGAACGGGAGGTGCGAACAGCAGCAGCCCCGGCTGTGCAGCCGGCCCCGTCTCTGTCGGAAGCGCTCCGCACTCACACTCTCCTACGTGCTGTTGTTATAAGCCGTCTTGGCTGAGCTCCATGCCAGATATTCTACTGCAAGTGGAAAGAACAAGAGAGAGCGAGAGAGAGAGAGACGGGGTTGTTAGTGCAACCTGCCTGTAGGCGGGGAAGGGAGCTGGCACTTCGCTTTGGAACGAGTCCCCCATGCACGCGTCTGCTGGGAAGAACGGGAGCCTGCATGGGGCATTGCTGCCTGGAGGCACCAGAGGGGATGACCCCCCCATTGCCTCATTTGCTGTGGTCTTTCAGCTGCCCCAGAGCCCAGGGCAAGCAGCGCAAGACCCCTCCCGAGAGCCCAGAGCCACGGGCGCGCACCGACGGATGGCGTCGAAGGAGGAGCAGCTTTAGCCCGGGACATAGCGCTGTGGGAGGGCACACGGACACGGAGAGCGCAGCTGCTAACGCTAACAGGGGAAGTCCTTTGCCCCGCCTCCTTTTATGCAAATGAGGGAGAAGGCATGCCTAGTGAGCAGATGCTGCTCCCTCCAGTGCTGGAGGGGGGCCCCAGGCTAGGAGGTAAGCAGGGGGTCGAGATGGGAGGGAAGGTGGGGGGCTACCTGGAAGTGGCTGTAGGCTTGGGGACGCGGCAGAGGACGGGACGTAGAGGCACCAAGGGTCGGGGGCGGTTGCAAATGCGGTGGGGTCTGGGGGTGGATGAGACTGCTGTCATATAGGGTGCTGTGGTGGGCAAGGGTGGGAGGCGTGGGGGGCAGCGGGTGAGGACGGGGGCACAGACTGGCTGGAAGGCCCCTGTACAACATCCTCATGGCACTGGCTTGGTCCCACCTGGGCTGAACACTGACGTGCTGGCCTGGGAGCAGGGAAGGGGAAGCCTGGGGACATGGTGCCTGCACAAGCTGGGATCTGTTGCCAGCATCATTCAAGGGCCTCGCAATGCCCCTGGAGAGGCCTGGGGATGGGTTGGGAGCTGGGGCCCTCCTTGAATCCACCAGCACCGTGGAGAGCAACCACCCGCTATCCCCTCCCCACCCAGCACCGCGCTTGTGTTGGGCAAGGGGGGCACAGTGGCAGGAAAAACCCAAATCCCTGGCTTGACCCCTGGGCAGAGGGCAGTCAGCAGCATGTGAACGCCAGTGTTAATGGGTTTCGTGCCGCAGGGAGAGTGAATCTCCTCAGGGAGGAGGCATTGTTTCTGACACCCCCCAGCCCTTGTTGGCTCAGACAGCCGGAGACTTCCCACAACTGCCCCCCCATGACAAAATCAACGGTGCTTCAAATAGGGCTCTACTGAAATATCGCGGTTCCAGCAGCTGCCCTGTGGCAAGCATCATCCTCCCCATTTCACAGAGGGGCAAGCTGAGGCACTGTGAGGGGAAGCCACCTGCCCAAAGCTATGGGTTAAGGGAGTTCCTGCTCCTCTGCCCTGTGCGCAGGCCAGACTAGTGAATACAGAGACCCCTCCAACCCCCCCCCCCAAAGCTTTGATGGCCGTGATGCTACAACGCTGAACCCCCTCTGGCCATTTAACACCACTTCACAACCAAAGATACAGCAGGGGCAGGGGTTATAGGGCCGGGAACAGGTTAAAGACCCTGGATCTAAACCAGCTGGGGAAAAACACCATTTAGGGAAGCAGGTGCAGCAAAGGCCAATGCAATTATTTCTCCTTGAGCAGATCTGCAATCCCCAGGTGCCTATCCTCCCGCACCACCAGAAGGGGAAGCACAGAGGGGGAGAGGATTTTTGCATAACACACAAACTCATTAACATCCAGCAAGCAATGAGCATCTGAAACAGCTCTCCGGATGAGACGCTGCTGCAGATCCAGGCACCAGGCTCTGCCAAGGATGCCACCTAGCCCAGTACGCAGCTGAGGCTGCCTGGAAGAGGCCTGAACGGCTCTAATCTTTGTCTACCTCATCCTTCTAGCCGGGGCTATCAATTACCAATCAATCAAAGGTGTCACTTTAAAAAAAAAAAAAAAAAGGAAGGCCTGTGGCCTAATGACATGAGCACTGGCCCAGCAGAGACCTTCATTCCCTTTGTCACTGCCACAGCCCTGACCTTGGGCAACTCACTTCACCTCCCATGTGTCTCACTTTTCCCCTCCCACCCCGCAAAAATGGGGGAAGGGAGGAAATGATACTAGTCTTTTTTTTTTTTTTTTAAATCCCATGCTTCTGAAAAAACACTAGTAAAGTGCTAGGTCTGATTATTACTAAAAATGTGGACCGAGTAACTGCCGCAGCGTCGCTCAAGTCTGGTGCCAGCCTGAAACTAGTCCCAAGAGGCAGGAGCTGCCCAGGTTGGATCAAGGAGGAATTAACCATAGAGCCCAAGGGTAGCCGAGGCATTAACGCCAGAGCCACGACACTGCCAGGTTTCTTAGCTGTGGCACGTTACCGTCCCACCGGCAGGCAGAAGGCAAGGCAGGGGGGCACCTTGGGGGCTTGCTCGGCCAGAGAGGCATAAGCTTTTGTAGGTGGCAGGTGCTAGGGACAGACTTGCAGAGAGCAGGGGCAGGTACGAAGAAATGGCGCTGCGGGGGTGCAGGGTGGAGATGCGAGACATTCGCATGCAACCACCAGACCCTGCCTAAAGGAGAGGGGTTATTTCTGTCCCCCCAAAGCCTCTTCTTGTGGCTTCAGATTTTGAGGCGCACGGGGACAGAAGCTGCTTCTCAGCCCAGCTGGCTTCTCCAGGGCAGGTGGATATTTTCAGTACGCAATTGCACAGCGTGCTGCAAAGTGCGGGTCTACAGGAAGGAAACAAAGTGAATTAAAATCCACACCAGAACCTTCCTCCATTGCACTTAAACTGGAGGGGAGCGCACTGGGGACAGCACGTGACTGGGCAGCGCCCACCTGAGTCCATGCTCCTCCTTGCCACTTGGACCTGAAGCTTCAACAAGTGCCAGTGCTCTTCTCTGGAGAGCTTCCTCCCAGCCCCCAGAAAACTACTCCAGAAAGCCCGGTCACACCAAGAAGAGCAGCCCCACCGGTCCCAGGCAGGCGCGCTGGGGAACCAGGTTTGTTAAAGATGGTTCGGTGTCTGCGCGGCGAGGGGAGTCGCAGGGCCAGCAGGGTAACAGCTAGGGCAGTGCCGTGCTGCTGCACTGCAGCTCTGGAAGCAAGAAATCCTGTCTGCAAGATGACTCAGGGAGGAAAGGCAGAATTGGGAATTTCAGTATCCAGGCAGGACCCCTCCAGCCTCCTCCCTGCAGGGCTCTAAGGGTTGACAACCCACCTGTCTCAGCCTGAAGCTGCCAGGGGCTTCTGCCTAATCGCAAGTACCCTGCTATTGTCCCCTGCGAGCCGGGCACTTTCCCCAAATATTCACTCAGCAAGTCCACATCCCAAAAGCACCCAGGATGAGCTCTGTGGCAGCTCTAGGGACAGGGCCCCACTCCAGCATCCTCCTTCCTGGAGTCGGTTGCAGATGGCCCCAGATGGAGGCCTGAGCTGAGCTTCCTCATTCCCCCATCCCTGGGGGAGCAAGCAGCCCGAGAGGCGTCTCAAGAATGAGCAGGAGATGCAGAGAAAGCTTCCCATCCCCAAGCTCCCCCTGGCCACCTCACCCAGCCAGATGAGCTCGGCTGGCTTTGCTCGGATTTACTCCCCGCTTGTCATCCTGTCAGGAATTTCAGGCAGACGCGCACCTCGCCGGGGATCATCTGTTTAGCAGCAATAACCCCAAGCCATCCATGAAATTGTTCTCCAGCAGGCAGCAGCAGGGGCCAAGCAGACCCCTGGGACGCACTGGAAGGGATCCCAGCGCAGACGGATGAGAGCTCGTCCCACCGACCTTTGCCTGCTAATGCCAGCGCCACTCTGGTGTCCCCCCGTCACAACCAGCCTCTCCCGGATGGCAAAGCAGGGTCTAATATGGCCCATAGCAAGAGCCTCCACAGGCAAGCCCCAGCCCCAAGCCTCCATAAAAACAGCTACTTTGAGCTTACAAGACAACACTGCCATTTTTCCACTCTGGGAGAGCACAGACCCACCAGGAGCAGGGCAAGGAAAGGGGGCAGGAAAATACAGCATTCAAAACAGAGGCTGGCTTAGGGGCGCCCATCTCCCTAGCCAGCCAGGAGCATTTCTGGTTAGAAACCATAATTAGGTCACAGCCAGGATGTTCCCCAAACCAATCTGTTATAAATAAGACCTGTCATTGCTTTTCCTCACCTGGGCTTTTCTTTTCCTTCTAGATCGCCTTGCACTCTCCCCCTTCACATTGTTTCTCCTACAACCAACTGTTCGTCTCCCAAACGCTGTGACTTATTCCTGACATTCAGTTTTCTTCGGTATATTCTCTCCTTTGATTCAGCCTACGCTGGGTCACACCACACATGCCTAGCGCTACCATCAGTTTTTCCCCTCTCCCCCTTAACAAGCAGTTGGTGCCAGGGGGTGGATGCAGGTCCAGTCTGCGCGGTGGATGTGGGCAATTGGACCGGGGCTCAGGGAAAGCCACCCCCCAGCTGAAGGGAAGCCCCGGAGCTGTAGCAAGGAGGGGGCAAGCACTGAGCCTCTCCTGACCAACCTACCTGGCAGGCTTCAAGACCATCTGGTTGGCATGACTCACTCCTAAAGTAATTATAGGGCAGCTTGGCCTCCACCGCCCAGCCTACCCATATCCTTTCTGCCAGTCAGTCAATCTGGATTAAGGCTTTCTGCTCGCTAGGTTCAAGCAGCAAACTCATCATCTCACTCCAGCCATCAGCCAGCACTGGCTGTTATCCTCTCTGAACCAGATCGGTAACTTAGAAAAGGCAGGCACCACGTGCCATCAACAACTCCTTGAGCCGGGAGTTGAAGGGTGCCCATGTTGAGTAATGTTTCAGTTATCAAGTAAACGATGGCAGGGACAAGGGCTAAAGCAGAGGACCCAAGTAAGCCCTCCTTTCTACAACAAAGGAACCGCTGCAACTTTCCTGGAAGTCTCCAGCAGTTCTCCAGACTCATCTCTCTCGTATCTACTAAAATCAATCAGAAGTGGGCTTGAGCAATGCTGATTGCGGCTTAGAAGCCACCTCCCATGATAAGGAGCCTGCACCTCGCTACAGTCCTGACAGAGGCAGCTATCTGGGAAGTGACAGGGGAGATTAGGTCCCACACCCATGTCAGGAACCGGGCTCCAACAATGGTTGCCTGGACCTCTCATCTCCAGGCCTCTTGGCAGCATTCCTGAGCAAGAGCTACACGCCAAATGCCACCAAGACAAAGCAGTCCTTTCTGGCCAGCTTGCAGCCTTTACAAGACTGCAGTGAGAAGCAGAGGAGAAAAATATGCCTTTCCTCCCCCCACGATACTGTGACTTTGCAAGATCCCCAAATCGGCTCAGGAGAAAACCACTGCAAGAACCACATACCAAGTGCAAGACATTTAGCAAGTGATCTACAAAGTGCAGGGTGCTGGCGAATGACTGAAATACATTCCCTCTCCGGAAAGGGGCTGAGCGTTTAAAGCCTACTGACAGACAGGGGTGAGGGGAAGAAAGAGAGGTTTCCTTAGCTTGAGACACTTGCCCCATAGTTGTCCCCCCCTCCCCCAGGTCCCTGCATAGGCAGCAGCTGCGATCACCGGGTTGCAAACGCCTCCTAAACAGGGGAGGTTTGCTCTATCAGTGCTGGCATTTGCAGTTACAGAGGGGGGATGAGGAAAGCCTGCTTTTCCCCTGGATGCAGATCCTGGACACATGCACGCACCATTTTCTCCTCCCCCCCAGGTCTCAGCATCTGCTCCCTTCACCCAGCCCCACCTATTCCTGGGCCTCCAGCAAGGTGCCCAGACAGCAGCGCAGGCAGCTGCCTGGACCCATCGCAGCGCAGGCAGCTGCCACCCCGCTGCAGCAGGCTCTTACCTTGGCCGCAGCTCCAGCCTCACCGGGGCTCCAAGGCCAGGGCAGCAGGGGCAGGCTCCGGCAGCAGGGAGTCAAGCGTGCAGATGCCCCCAGGGCACAGGGGACAGCTCCAGCCCCAGCTCCAAGGCCCCTCCGGTCTGTCCCCACAGGGGCACCCAGCCTAGAGCTGCCCCTGCCAGGCTCTGCCCATCCTGGGGGATGCAGCGCCCTCCCCGCTCCCCCATGTGCTGTCTGCAAGGAGCAAACAGCATCACCTGGACCAGCGCATCCCCCCCCCCCCCCC